CCTAAAGAACCTGAATCTAATACTTAATATGTTCTATCTAAGATATTATATGTACTAAGTTGTAACTATAACTGCTATTCTTCAATCCCATCAAAGACCTGAGAAGGAACATAATGGTACCTGAGAAATGGTAGATGGATGCAAGCAACTTTCGGGAGTCTTGCAAGAGTAGACCAAGACAGCTGGCAGCCTGGACAGCCACCTAATGTTTCTCAGCATTGTCTACAGTGAAAAAAGCAATAATTTTTTCAGAAACCAGTGACAATGAAAAGGTAGTTTCAGATGGCAGTCATGTGCTGAAACAGATAGGAATTTTCAAGGAGATCACCATTAAAGAGAAGAAAGCCTATCTATGTACCCTAAGGGTGTCATGTTAAACTTCAATTAATGAGAGGATTAGGCAAAGTGATTCCTATTCCCAGGAAGCAGCTTTATACAAAACCTGCTGCAAGCATTGTCCAAACTCTGCAAGGTCCATCTCAATTAAGAAGCCAAACTTGTACTGGTTCTGGAAATAAGAAAGAATCAAAATTTCTGGTCATGGATTCCTGATCTGTGGTTTCAGTTTAGCACTTTTGCAGTCATCTATGTTTGGCAGAGTCAGAGCCCCAGGGAGGATTCTGTGAAAGTTCATTGATGAAGCTTTGAGCATGAAGCCTAGGTTGCATTTTGAGACCACAAAATGTTGAGATAACAAAGCTGTGAGACATCTGCCATGGAAAGCTGCATATAGGAAATGGAAGTAGCCAAAGAGATATATGAGAAATTTCAGGAAAATGAGACACCTAAGCTTTGAAATGGAAGCCCCATATGTCTGAGACAGAGCTGCTAAATTTGGTGTTTACCCTGCTGGGTTCCAGTCTTGCCTTGGTTCAGTCTTCACTCACTGAATTCCACTTCTTCTTTGGGAATGGTAATGGGTATTCTGTGCCAGTGTATGTTGGAAAGATGTAACTTCTTTTCTGATTTTACAAGATGTCAGAGTCAAGGAATCACCAGAGTCTCCAAAGAGACCTTGAACATTTGAAATTGTAGGTGCTGTTGAAGACTATGAGGATCATTGAAGATAGACTAAATGCATTTTGATCATGGGGTGATCAGCCCTGGCTGTCCTGAAAGTACCTCTGTATACCAGGCTGACCTGAACTCAAAGATCCAAATATTCTGGCTCTTATGTTCTGTGATTAAATGTTGGCCATCATGCCTGGGCTTTTTTGTTTTTATATTATTGGGTGATGGGCTTGTTGTATAGGTATTTCTACATGTCAAACATATGCTGTTTTGCTGAGCTTCACCCTCATCATGAATTTTGAATTATGGCAAAATGTATCATTCTCTTCCCAGGATGGCATACTCATGACATTAAAACTGCATGAGTCTTCTGAGTCATTCAATTGCAGCTGTGTGACATTCTTCCTACCTATTATGTTGGTTTTTAATTCTTTTGAGGAATGCGCATCTTTTGCTTATATGCATGGATATGTACCACATGTGTGCCTGGTCCTCACAGCAATCAGAAGATAGTTTCATAATCCCTGAACTTGTAGTAATGGATAGTTGTAAGCCCCCATTTATGATGAGCCCAACTCTCTGTAAGACCAGTAAGAGCTCTTAAATATTGAGCCATTTCTACTGTCCTATGTTATTTTTTATGATGAACATTTATATTGCTAATGTTTTCATCTGTTCACTTGTAACTTTAAACATGCATTCCCTTTTAGTAAGATCTTATTATTTTTATAATTTAAACTGGTTTCTGGAAGATCAAAACAGAACTGGAGTGTATGTATATTTCATTGTAGAAACTTCCATAGAAACCTGTGAGTTCTTTTTACCTTTCTTGTACAATTTATTTTTATGGGGGAGAAAGAGTCTTACCAATATGTAACTGGCTAACCTGAAATTCATTGCATAGGCAGGCTGTCAGCAAACTCAATTAAATTCTCCTGCCTTTGCCTTTTGAGTGCTGGGAATAAAGATTTGAGCCAGTACACCCAACTTGCCCATCTTTTTTGTAGTTAGTAATTGTTCACTCAATTTCCCTAATGTGTACTTTGATCTGTTTGCTTGGCTCTCTTATCTCTCTCTCTCTCTCTCTCTCTCTCTCTCTCTCTCTCTCTCGGTTTTTCGAGACACGGTTTCTCTGTGTAGCTTTGTGCCTTTTCTGGAACTCACTTGGTAGTCCAGGCTTGCCTCAAACTCACAGAGATCCGCCTGGCTCTACCTCCCGAGTGCTGGGATTAAAGGCATGTGCCACCACCGCCCGGCATATCTCTTTTTTTAAAAAAAGATTTTTGGTTATGAGCCTAGCCGGGTATTGGTGGCACATGCATTTAATCTCAGCACTCGGGAGCCAGAGCCAGGCAAATCTTTGTTAGTTTGGGGCCAGCCTGGTCTACAGAGCAAGATTCAGGAAAGGTACAAAGCTACACAGAGAAACCCTGTCTCATAAAAAAAAAAGATTATTTATTTATTATGTATACAGTGTGCTGTCTGCATGTCTGCCTGCAGGCCAGAAGAGGGCACCAGATCTCATTGCAGATGGTTGTGAGCCATGTAGTTGCTGGGAATTGAACTCAGGACTTCTGGAAGAACAGCCAGTGCTCTTAACCACTGAGCCATCTGTCCAGCTCCTCTTTATATCTCTTAATAGGCATTTCTCCTGCAAGGCTATATCCTAGACAAAATGTTTAGAAATGACAGATGTGAACCTCATTGTTCAGCTTTTGTTTTCTAAAATGAGTTGATGATTAGAACTTTTGTGTCATGGAATAAGTGTGGGGAGCCCCAGAATTATATGAACATACTGCCAAAGAAGTGTACATCACCATGCTGTCAGTATCACACTTTCTGTTGTACACATGTATGGGATATTTTAGACTGCAGTGACCTATGATGACGTGCATATCGACTTCACGTGGGAGGAGTGGACTTTGATGGATCCTTCCCAGAAGAATCTCTACAAAGATGTAATGTGGGAGACCTACAGAAACCTTACTGCTGTAGGTAAGACAGAATTTCTTTTGTATTACATTTTAAAATAAAAGGACAACTCTTCTGTAGTTATTGATACACTTTTGTAATTTCAATTGAGAAAGAAGAAGAATGAGGTGAATAAATCTGGCATTGTTCTAAGGTTCACTGAAGATAGTAACTTAACTTTTGCACAGTTTCCCATAATATATGATATATTTTCTGGTACTGTATTTTAGGCTACAGTTGGGAAGACCATGATATTGAAGAACATTGTCAAAGTTCTGGAAAACTTAGAAGGTACTTTTCATGTGCTGGCTGATACAAATGTGCCTATGGAGAAATTTTAATGTGTCCCAGAAGTTTTAAATAAAAGTGACAATGTAAATAAGCACAGTTTAAAGTGTACTGATGATTGTTAAATTCTCACGAAACCAAATGCCTCAATTTCAGGTAGCTGATACGTGTTTGCAAGGCATTCCTCTAAGAAAGAACACAGTGAAACAATGCCTTCACTGATATTCTCATTTTAATTACAGCTCCATGATAGTTCTTCTGTTGAACAGCCAATCTGTTTAATTTCATGCCATTCAGATATTGTAAAAGGAATATGTGTTGAATAGGTGAGAAGTATATATCCAAGTATATATCTATGAGGAACAAAAAGTCAAGTTGTGTGAATGCAGTGGGCAAACATTTTATTTGCTTCATTTCCTTTATCAGTATATCATATACTACTGAGGATACAAGCCATGTAAGCATAGGAAGGATGCAACATAACTCTCTCTCACAAACACAGAATGATTAGAGGCTAAGTAGTAGTCCCCACTTGGAGTACAATTTTTGAATGTGATACAGTTTAAATTTAATTGATTTTCCAACTTCATTGGGAATACATCAAGACACGCAGACTGGAGAAAAGCTCTACGAGTATTGGAATGTATAAATATGTCTATTGCCCTATAAAAGGCTCTTACCATTACAGATACCTTCAAAGACACAAAACAGCCCTAAATTAAGGGAAACACTATGAGTGTAAACTTTAAGATCTCATTTGTCTTAAAAATTAGACAAAATTTTAAAATTAATTCATACAAATATAAATATTCATCAGTGTACTGAATGTGATAAAGCTTTTACATGTGCCAATTATCTTTACAGATACAAAGAACATCATATTGGGGAGAAACCCTCTGAATATACTCAATGTGCAAAAGCATTTTTATATTATGGTCACCTTCAGAATAATGAAAGTATTCATACTGGAGAGAAACTCTATAGTTGTATTCAATATGATGAAGCCTTTTCACACAACAGTAGTCTCCAAATACGTGAAGAAACACATACTGGAAAGAAAATCAGTAAGAGTAATCAGTGTGGTAAAGCCTTCACAAGTCATGATCATTTTCAAATACATAAAGGAACACATACTGGAGAGAAACCCTATGAATGTAATCAATGTGGTAAAGCCTTTGCATGTAGCAGTAGACTCCAAAGACATGAAAGAAGACATACTGGAGAGAAACCTTATGAATGTAATCAATGTGGTAAAGCCTTTGCATGTACCAGTAATCTCCAAAGACATGAAAGAACACATACTGGAGAGAGACCCTACAAATGTAATCAATGTGATAAAGCCTTTTCACAACACAGTTATCTCCAAATGCATGAAAGAACACATACTGGAGAGAAACCTTACAAATGTAATCAATGTAATAAAGCCTTTTTACGACCCAGTCGTCTCCAAATACATGAAAGAATGCATTCTGGAGAGAAACCCTACAAATGTAATCAATGTGATAAAGCTTTTGCATGTGCCAGTACTCTCCAAATGCATGAAAGAACACATACTGGAGAGAAACCCTACAAATGTAATCAATGTGACAAAGCCTTTTTACGACATACTCAGCTCCAAATACATGAAAGAATACATTCTGGAGAGAAACCCTACAAATGTAATCAATGTGATCAAGCCTTTGCATGTTCCAGTAGTCTCCGAAAACATGAAAGAACACATTCTGGAGAGAAACCCTACAAATGTAATCATTGTGATCAAGCCTTTGCATATTCCAGTAGTCTCCGAAAACATGAAATAACACATTCTGGAGTGAAACCCTACAAATGTAATCAATGTGATAAAGCCTTTTCAGGACACAGTCTTCTCCAAAGACATGAAACAACACATTCCGGAGAGAAACCCTACAAATGTAGTCAATGTAATAAAGCCTTTTCACAATACAGTCGTCTCCGAATTCATGAAAGAACACATTCCGGAGTGAAACCCTATAAATGTAGTCAATGTCATAAAAACTTTTCACGACACCATCTTCTTCAAATGCATGAAAGAACTCATTCTGGAGAGAAACCCTACAAATGTAATCAATGTGATAAAGGCTTTGCATGTGTTGATAGTTTCCAAATACATGAAAGAAAACATACTGGAGAGAAACCCTACAAATGTAATCAATGTAATAAAGCCTTTTTACAACACTTTCATCTCCAAATACATGAAATAACACATTCTGTAGAGAAACCCCATGAATGTAATCAATGTGGTAAAGGCTTTGCATGTTCCAGTAGTCTCCGAAGACATGAAAGAACACATATTGGAGAGAAACCCTACAAATGTAATCAATGTGATAAAGCCTTTTCACGACACAGTTATCTCCAAAGACATGAAAGAACACATTATTGGAGAGACATCCTACAGATGTAATCAATGTGATAAATGCTTTTTCACAACACAGTAACATTTAAATTCATGAAAGAACACATACTGGATAGAAACCCTCTGAATGTAATCAATATGGTAAAGCCTTTGCATGTACCAATGGTTTCTGAAGACATGAAAGAACACATACTGGAGAGAAACCCTACAGATGTAATCAATGTAATAAAGGCTTTTCACAACACTGTCATCTCCAAATACATGAAAGAACATGTATCTAGAGAAGAAACCCCATAAATGTAGTCAATGTGATAAAGCCTTTATATGTGCTGGTAATCTCTCCATACATTAAGGAACTCATACTGAAGAGGAACCTTACAAATGCAATCAATGTAATAAAGCCTTTATATGACACAGTCATGTCCAAATACAAAACGAATGTATTCTGGACAGAAACTATAAATTTAATGAATGTGGGAAAACCTTTGTATGTCTCAACAATCTCGGAATACATAAAGGAATACATACTGGAGAAAAACCCTAAGACTGAAATCAGTGTGGTAAAGCCTTTGTAATTCAAGGTCATCTTTAAATACATAAAATAACATATACTGGAGAAAAACCCTGCTGTGGGATGGTCTGTGTGTCAAATGTGTTGCTCTGATTGGTTAAAAAATAAAACACTAATTGGCCAGTAGCCAGGCAGGAGGAAGTATAGGTGGGACAAGGAGGAGAAGAATTCTGGGAAGTGGAAGGCTGAGTCAGAGAGACACTGCTAGCCGCCGCCATGACAAGCAGCATGTGAAGATGCCGGTAAGCCACTAGACATGTGGCAAGGTATAGATTTATAGAAATGGAATAATTTAAGATATAAGAACAATTAGCAAGAAGCCTGCCATGGCCATACAGTTTGTAAGCAATATAAGTCTCTGTGTTTACTTGGTTGGGTCTGAGCAGCTGTGGGCCAGGCAAGAAAACTCTAGCTACAAAGCCCTATGAATCAAATCAATTAGATAAAGCCTTTTCAAAACACAATCACCTCCAAATCCATAAAAGAGCACATAAAAGAGAGAAACCCTATGAATGTTATCAATGAGGTAAAACCTGGATGTGCCAGTAGTCTCTGAATACGTAAAGGAACTCATACTAGTGAGAAGCCCTTCAAATATAATTAATGTGATATTGCCTTTTCATACCACAATCCTCTCTAAATACATGAAAGAATACATTCTAAAGAGAAACCTAATGAATAAAATTAATGTGGTTAAGGCTTTACATGTGCTAATAGTCTCAAAATATATAAAAAAAACACACATTGGAGTGAAATCCTGTGAATGTAATCCATGTGCTGAAGCCTTTTCACAACAGACCAGTCTTCAAGTGCATGAAAAAACACATACTGGAGAGAAAACCTATGAAAGTAATCAATGTGATAAAGCCTTTGCATATGCAGGTAGTCTCTGAAGGCATAAAGAAACACATACTGGAGAGAGATCCTATGATTGTAATCAATATGGTAAAGCTTTTGCATGAATCAGCAGTCTTTGAAATCATGAGAAAAAAAATCACACTCAGAGAAACCCTATAAATGTAGTGAATGTGGTAAAGTTTTGCAGTTTATATTAGCCTTTATACAAGAGTAAAACTTAATGTGTAATTTGTCTGTTAAGGCCTTTTCATTTCACAGTAGTCTTTGAGGACCTAAAAAAAAAAAAAAAAAAAAAAAAAACAAACAAAAAAAAAAACTAATACTGAGGGAAATCTGGCCATAAAGAGTTTGGTAAGATCTTTACTCAACAGACTTACATTCAGTTACACAGGATTACTCTGGAGAAAATATTTGACAACTGTCACCAATCTGTTCAAGCATTATGATGTCCCTCTTTTTTATTTGCACCTTCAAACTCATATGGACGAAAACTTATGAATTTAAATGATGAGCTAGACTGTTTCTATTCCACAGTTCTCTTCAATTACATGAAATTAAGGCATCCAGATATAAAACTTGATGTGTATTAGTGCCTTTTCTGTTGCTGTGGTAAAACATTATGTCTGTGTCAACTTGTGGAATAGTTGGCCCTTGGGTCCAGAAAGATACAGGATCACCATGAAAGTGGCATGGCAACAAGTGTCAAACATGGCAGCTAAAGCAGGAAGCTAAGAATTCACACCTTCCACCTGTGGCATGAAAGTGAAAGTGGGAACTGGAAATGGTGTGTGGATGTGAACTCTTATGTTCACCCCCAGGGACATACTTCTTCCAGCAGGGCAAGCATTACCTAAACCTTCCCAAATTGTGGGAGGGCTACCCACCACCCCTGCATTTCCCCAGAGTGCTCTTGAGTAGGAGCAGCAGAAAATATTAGATAGAAGGATTCAGAGTGGGGAGAAACAGATAGAAAATACAGGATAACCATGAGAGGGCCTGGAACCTATTCCAACAGGCCCTGACTGTCTCTGCCCTAGGGTATTTACAGAAATGCCAAGGGTTGGAGCAAAAGACGTCCCTCCAGCACAGCCCAGTGCAGACCATCTCAGACACCTGCACTCACACTCATTGTCCAATCATCCTCTCTATGCAGACCTTTTGGGAAAAGCCACAAGGAAACCTGAAAATGCGCTCCCACAGGTGACCCTTTCTTAATATATAAAAAACAACTCCTCATTAATAGTTCATAGCAATCTCCATAGCTGTCATTTTTTCCAGTATCATAATTGAGAATAATAAAGATGACATTTCTTTTTTGGATTGGGTCCATGGTGACTAAAGCTGTCTTAGCTGCATCCAGCCTTTTCTAAAGCAAAAACTCTTAATGTATTTGTAAACTTAAAGATTCCCTTAGTTTTATCATTAACATCAACAGGTTAACAAATTTCACTATACATAGTTACAATTCTGTCAATCTTCCATCTCAAATCAAACTTTTAACAGAACTATTTGCATTTCTTTCTAAGAGAACATAGGAAAAACTTCTGATGTGTTCACATCAAACTTAAATATTTCATTAACTTCAAACCAGAGTGGATTACTATCAATACACTCAACCTTAATTCACTGATTACTCCCTCTTTTCTTTATAATTTTTTAAACAAATTCTTGAACCTAGTTGGAAGAAAATCCAAACTTTTCCCTTTAAACAAAACACCAGTTTCATTAGTAATTCCATTTTTACATGAACTGTTCCATTAAAAGTTCCATTTTTAACACATAACATTTCATTAACCACCACAGTTAATAAAGCATATATGCATATGAAAAACTGCATCTCAAGCCTAGGTGGAAACAATAAATTTCTTCATTTAAACAGTTCACTTTTTTTTTTTTAACACAAATCATTCCAGAAAACAGTTCCTAGGTCATCCCATTGCAAGGAAATCACTTTTGTTTATTTCTTTTTTTTTTGTTGTTTTTTTTTTGTTTTTGTTTTTTTTTTTGTTTTTCGAGACAGGGTTTCTCTGTGTAGCTTTGCGCCTTTCCTGGAACTCACTTGGTAGCCCAAGCTGGCCTCGAACTCACAGAGATCCGCCTGCCTCTGCCTCCCGAGTGCTGGGATTAAAGGTGTGCGCCACCACCGCCCGGCTGTTTATTTCTTAAGTACCGAAATTTAAATAATAAATTATGGTACCAGCCTTCCATATATGAAGAAATGTTTTACAACCAAAAACTTTTTGCAGCTAACAATTTTAGTTCAAACAAGCATCTCTGCAGCTTTCATTCTCAAGCCAAAGACATCTTTAGTTACAGTAACATTTTAAACTGTGCCATTTTTGCCGCTAGCTCAGGGTTTTCTTTGCTGCATTGATTTTCCAATGGGTCTCAGTTGCAGATGCCTGTCTGTGACTGTCATACAGGTTCTGTTTTCTGCAATTCTTAGCATCTTAGCAGCTTCTGGAGCTTTTGAAAATGCTCAGACTGCCAGTTTGATATATTAAGCATAGACTCACATTCAAACATTTACACCTTTTCTCTATATACATTAAGCATACACTCACACTCAAAATTTACACTTTTTTACAAACTCACATATAACATATCAACATATACTCATTTATGCTTCTTACAAGCTAATATTCTTAAAGAAACTCCTTAGCAAATATACTTATATATTTACTCCTTACATTCTTATTTAAACTTACATTTGCAACTAGCATCTTTACTTTATACAACCTTATTATAGGACTACTGTAGCAAATATACTACATGTCTTTACTTTTTATTACTTATTACTACATGTCTTAAAGACATTCTATACTTCTATTAGCATATATCTAACTTATCAAACACCTAAAAGATTTCTACCAAACTTATACTATAGAACTATGAGAAAGACTCTCTTAACACAACAGGAAGTACACAAATCATTTCTAAAGTTCAGAGTTTATAGTCAGCTTTGATATACAACACTAGGATTTAGTGAGTGTTGTTGATATGGAGTTGTAATACTTGTTGCTAAGGGACTGTAACATTCTTGGATGAAGCCACACCCCAAAGTTGCTGAGTTCTTTTAGCCATTCTGGAACCAGCAGAGATGCGCTCTCAGTGTAAATGGTTTTTAACTAGAGGCTGTCCCTTCACCCCACTTCATAATAGCTCCCCTAAGTGCTTCAATTTAGACAAATGTTTCTGTTACAGCAGTACTTTTGGTTTGCGCTACTGAAAAGCTTTGCTTCAGGCTGAGGGTGAAATGACCATATTGAACAGCTGTAATCTCTTAGCAAAAATCTTACACAGTTATTAGGCGATATAAAGTATTTCGCCAAAGGAGCCATAAAGCCAAAAAGTGGCATAGCTCCAAACTCCATTTCCTTACATTTTGCATTAACCAGTGACAAAACCTCAGAAATACTAATTGAGCCACTTTCATTCTGGTTCCTTTATAGGAACGTCATTGGAGCTGACCTTCCTTAGTTCTGTGCTCCTTACCAAATGCTCCATTAATCACCAAGCTTCATTCTCCTCTTGTGAAAAAACACAAACATGTCCTCGACCTTATATTATCACTGGATCAGGTCCCTTCCATAATCCTGAGCAGGGATCCTTCCATTTCACTTGAGCAAAGGTCACTTGGGTACCACTGTGCCAAAATCTATCCATGGCAGACTGCTCACAGACACCCATATTCAAAAAATTCAGAATGAAAAGAGCACGATTTAATGCATTATGTGGTGATTGAGGGTAAATTTCTTCCTTTTTTATTTTTAGTTTTTGAAGCTGTATTTTAAGACTGCTATGAGCCCTTTCTACAATACCTTGTCCTTGAGGATTATAAGGAATACCTGTTTTATGTTCAATTTTCCATTGGGTACAAAAGTGTTGAAATGCTTTACTACTATATCCAGAGCCATTATCAGCCGTAATAATTTTTGTTATACCCATATACAAAAAGCACTTCAAACAGTGTGTAATTACATGCTTTGTAGCTTCCCCAGATTGTGCACTAGTCATTAAAAATCCTAAATAAGTGTCAATGGTCACATACATATTTCAATTTGCCAAATTCTGCAATATGAGTGACATCCATTTGCCATAGATGATTAGGAAGAAGACCTCGATGGTTTACCCCTAAGTGAGGGACAAGAAAATATTTTGGGCATACCCATTATTTAACTATTTTTCA